ATCTAAGTCGCCTGGGCCAGATATCTTCAAACCACTACCCAATCGGGTTATAAACGAATACCCTGAAGTATCAGCCGTTGCGGGTTTTTAATTCTGATAACAGTCTACATACTAATATCAGATAAAACCATTGATTAAAACGTACATTATAATAGTAATCCACTCTATGAATATATACTGTGTATTCTACTTCAATATCATACCCCATCAAACAGGTCGCCTTATACCGGGTTGGTGGTAAAATCACCCGGTAAACCCAGTGCATGAGGATTAGAGATCTCTAACGATAGATACCAGTATGAACACGTTCTATAACAACAATCTACGCAATGAATATAAGCCGTTCAACACACCTTGATGTCACTAAACTTGTCCGCCAAGTCGTCATGTGAGCTATACCCAATATGGTACAGGAAATCACTCGGCAGTCCAAGGAGATGTGGGTTAGAAATCTCTAATAACCGGTTTCGTTGCATCTCATAAAAACGCTTAGCAACCGTTGAGAAGTCTACAGCTACTGGAGTATCAGAGTCAGTGTGTCTTACTGCATCCTTCCTATTAAAGCTGTACTCATCGATTTGGCCCAGCCGGAGTGCCTGAGTGAGTTGCCGGTCGAAACTGCTCGACAGTGTATCGTAGCTGACCCGTCTATCCATGATGTGTGCTATGTGGGATGGTGTGAAATTTGTGTTTATTTATATATATACTAGTATAATGATATGCGTGCTTGTGTATCAGTATAGTGGTGTATGTTCATATGTACCAGAAATAGCCAATTGTAGTGCTTCCTATCGTAATTTAAGTCGCAGAGCAGCTGAGTATGTACTACAAAAACGAGTTATACTAGGTACACCTAACAGAGGTAAGCGAGTTATACTAGGTACACCAAACAGAGGTAAGCGAGTTATACTAGGTACACCTAACAGAGGTAAGCGAGTTATACTAGGTACACCTAACAGAGGTAAGCAAGTTATACTAGGTACACCTAGCAGAGGTATAGTATGACGTACACAAATATACATATATCTGCATATATACGCTATCCAATATAATTCATGGCCTTCTAAAATACTACATGATTGATTTAGCAGGAGGCGATGATACAAATGACACTAAAAATATTATAACAAATGTCGATCACGCCGGAATTTGACGTCTTGACAGCTCCATAATCAATAATGATGACATATGAATACGTCATTTCTATCCATATTTGGTCGATTCATCCATGGCAACAAAAATATCATAGTCCTTTGTCCTCCCCTGTATGATTTAGAGGGGGCTATGAAAATCACTATTATCACCATATCAGCAACCATTCAAAATCCAATACGTTTGCCAGTCTATTTTAGGCAAGGTGATGTTATGAACTTTCAGGACAATGTCATCATCCGCAACACACACACACACTATACACACACACACTACACA